GGATCTCCAGTGGGGGGGTCCAGGACAGCCAGCTCTGATGTGGCATTGAGGGAAGATGACGGGGAAGCTCTGAAGAGATTTGGGAGCACAAGCAGGAGCGGCCCTAGACGAGCTGCCGGCAACCGGCGCCCCCACCTCCGAAGCCCTCAGCGGCCGTTTATCTTGGCGCCCTCAGCGACCGCCTAGTTCGCCTGTATTGACGGGACGCCACTGAGTACAAGCATGAGGGAGCTAGGTCTGGGGGTGTTCTAGAGGCAGGGAGCTACGGGGAGGTCCTGGGGTAGCTTGCCATGAAAGCCCCTGTCCCTGACTGGAGGTAGGAACAGGGTTATTGGGGCTCTGTCTGCAGTGGACAAACACCTCCTTTATGATGGAGCCCTGTAGATACCTGAAACGCTCCACCCCAGAGGCAACTGCATTTCAGCCCCAGGGTGCCTGAACCCCCAGCCCCCGCCAGGAGGTACAGTCTGTTGAGGGGTCAGGGTGCCCTGGCGAAAGGGAGATGGGGTCCTTATGCCAAGGGCCATGGGACAGAAACTAAATTCCCCCTCCCATCATGAGCCCCAGACTGACAACAGCTTCCCGGCCCCAGCTGCTCTGAGGACACCCCAGAGCAGGGCTGAAGCAGACAAAGAAACGTGCCCTGTTACCCAAGCTGCCGCCTGCACCAGCCGTCCTGCCCCCCAGCTCTGCCTGGAACCCCAATTAATTGGGGCTCAGGCAGTGCCTGGGAGGTACCAATGCCCCCTGCCCTGGCACAGTGGCAGGTTAGGGGAAAAAGAATCCCTGTCCGACTCTCCACGTCCACACTCCTCTGTCCTCTTCCATCACACGGACCTGCCGCAAACGAGGGACCAGGCTCCCCCCAGGGCAGCCAATCCAGGGCCACGGGAAAGCCCGCCTCCCTTGCTGCTTCCCCAGGGGCATTAGACTGGCAGAGGCATCATTTCCAGCCCCTCTCCGGTGCCCGCTTGCCAGCTCACACGGCATGGGGGGGAGGGATTAAAGCCCCAGCTCCGGGAGCCGTGGGATGCTGGGAGAACCAAGCAAGGCCCAGGAGGGTGGCACAAGAAATCAGCCAGCAGAGAAGCCTCAGGGTCAGAGCCACGTTGGGGGGTGCACGTAGGAGGGGACAGGCAGAGAGAGGCAGAAACGCCTGCTTGGCCTGACCGGCCGGGTTGTCCCAAGGCCAGTGTCGCAATATTAGAGCGGGTCACAAGACGGTGGTGGAGCACTGGTCAGAGCGCGGCCGGGAGGGCTCCTGGATTCTGTTCCCAGTGCTGGGAAGGCAGGGGAGTCTAGCGGTAAGAGCAGGAGGGGGTGGAGTCAGGACTTCTTGGTTCTATTTCTAGCTTTGGGAGCTTTCTACCCCCTGGGGGCAGCAGCTGTTTGCTGAGGACAGCATCAGGCCCTCCCTGGATGCCCCCAGCCAAGCCGGCTGGAGGTAGCTGGTGTCATTCGCCTCCTTTTTGCAAGCCTGTAAACTGAGGCACAGCAGGGCAGAAGGGAGTCGCCCAAAGTCCCCGAAGGAGTCTGGGACAGCAAGGAACAGAACCCAGCCCAGAAGCTGGGCCCTGCCTTAAACTGAGGCACAGCAGGGCAGAAGGGAGTCGCCCAAAGTCCCCGAAGGAGTCTGGGACAGCAAGGAACAGAACCCAGCCCAGAAGCTGGGCCCTGACTCGAGGCTTGTGCAGGCTA